AAAATGTCAATTCATTTCACGCGGCTGTCATTTATTTAGTAACTGTGATTTGTCGTTTTTTTAATTATTTTATAGTGATCACTATTAATAGTCTAATGTTTAGAATGTGAAAATATGTTCTCTTTTATTTTAATTTTGAAAGTTTTACTCAGACGATCGATGAAATAAAACAGTGTAGTGACGTGCCTAGTAACCTGCTAAATAACGAGATAATTCCGACGTCAAATTCTATTTTGTCCAGCAACAGTGTACAAACGTGCGCCGGTGTCGGTGACGATCACGTTGACCAGCTACACCAAAACGGATATATTTTGCATCTAACTCAACCCCATGCAACAAAAATTGATACTATGTGTTCATTGTGGTCCATTCTTCCTCGACAAACAAGTACATATTAAGCGACAATATAGTCAAAGACGAGAAAACTGCACATGAAATTTGCCTTATTTACACGTATCCGCAATGCAAGCTGCCATGCGACTTCCCCTTCTGCCGTCACAAGGGGAATTTCTATATGCAAATGAGAAGCTAGAAGCCTCGTTTTAAAATACACAAAAATAAAGTTGCCATAGACTGAGTTTAAAACACATTTTTTCACTTAAAAAAAATAATTCATGCTTAGAAACATAAAAATTAATAATATTTATGTATCAATTGATAATTTTAGGCGCAAAAATAGCAGCCATTTCACAGGCACTTTAAGCCTTATGAGAGAGTAATTGGCTGTTATTCGATTTGATGAGGAAAACTAATAAAGTAAGCAAACAAGACAGGAACTTTGAATAATTTATCACCATGGTAATCAAACACATGAGGTACACATGAGGTACACATGAGGAATTAAATGTCATCTTTTTTATTGTTGGCTGAAATGCCCATTGTTCTTTTAAGCAAGACTGAAACATATTAATCATTATATTTCAATTACTGTGGAATACTTTATTTTCGCTGAAAGGCTTTTTGATGATGTTAATGTGAAATATAGGAAAAAAAGTATATTCGCTGGATTTTATTTTCACGGAATCATCCCTTCAGCGAAAATAGCAAAAATAAATTGCAAGCAAAAATAAAGTATTCTACAGTAAGTTTTTTTTGAATGAATAATGAGTTTTGATAAATTTTTTTCCTGCTTTTACACAAAAAGCAAGGCTTGACAGTAAGGGTACTAGTAGTCCTATTGCCGAGATAAGTAAAATTGCTATTCAGACAACTAAATAGTAACTCGCTTACAAGTATAGAAAGATTATAAAAAATATATAAGCAACATGCATTTTCAACAAGTGAGTTTAGAAGTTAATTATGTTAATGAGAGATCATACATGTACCAGTACGTTGCATTTTCATGAATACATTAAAGCGGGAGGGTCGTCACCTGTGCACGTGCAAGAATTGAGTCCCAAGCGACGATAACAACACACGCTAAAAATGCAAAGGCTCATGGGTAGATGCTTGTTTGTAAACAATGGCACGCTATGGACATCTGACGCATGCGTAGGCGACGACTCCCCCGCTTTAATTGCAAACTGAAAAAAATATATATATTGTGTTTTAGTAGGAATTTACATAATTATACTAAACTTAATATTTATTTCTTTACAGGACATGGATGTTTTTTGTTTTTTTTTAAAGTTACGCTATGTCATGTACCAGTGGTTTTAATTTTGTGGAAACAACTCTATATACTATATAATAAATAGTGCTTTTAGATAATTTACCTAAAAGTACAGTTAATATTTTCTATAAATTAAAAGAACAATAGACAACCAAACTAAATAGTTGCTCTGAATAAACATTATTATTCATGTCTTCCACTAATGCATCTAAGCGATTTCTATGTATGGCTGAAGGCCAGCATGTATTGGAGAGGTGCGTTAGATTAATATGTGTTGTCGTAGCAGCGGACACTTGACATTTATCATAAAGTAAGCCATTTAGACAACAAGACCTACTGAGTATGAATAACAAGCATGAAATGTCAAAATATACGTAATAGTTGGCATACTGAACTTTTTACATTTAGAG